AAACGTACTTCCAAATGGATATAAATAAATAAAATAAATAATATTGATAAATACCTTGTCTCAGAGAGTTTGTCTCCGTCAATAATTAGTTTTATTTATATTTATAAAATGTGGTTTTGGAAAATATTATTTTATTCAAGGAGTTCCAAGATTATTATAATTTATTAATTTGGTCGCTTGTTTGAACCACAGTAAAAAAATATGCTCTTGTAGTTTTGTGTATCTTTAAAATATAAAATTTGAAATGCATAGAACTAATTAATGTAAATATTTCAAAAGCTAAAATATTAATTTCTGTAAAGTTAAATTCAAAGTTTATATGGAAGGCTGGTAGAGGCGAAAACCAATAATAATCCGTTTCTTATATAATATAAATTATAGTCGGAGGGTGAGCGTATGTAAAGACAAATACGGTAAAACTCTCTGTTGGTATATAAATATAATAGTATAAATTATATATTCCTATGGCGATTACTGATTACTAATTAGTAGGTACTATAGGTAATATAAAAATTGGTTATTGTTTATTTACGTTATATTATTATTATTATTCTGTTATTTTACTAAAGTATATAATATGGATATTTGCTCTTTACAGACTTGTGTGCCTGTTAGAAAGAGCTAAGTGATAAATAAATTGAACTTATATACCTAGTATTAAATATTAATAGTATTATAGTCAAGATTCAAGGAATGATAGACTGAAATTCAAAATATTGTTTGTAATTAGAATCAAATAACTCTTTAAGTGAAACTTGGGCTACTATTATTTTTAAAATAGAAAAGAATACAAGATCGAAATATAATATTTTGTTCGTTTACTATGTATAGATAGCCTATTGACGATCACTGAAATCCAATTAATGAAAAGGTTACAGTAATTAATTATTTCTTTATTTCAAATATCTTTTATAGTTTTATCTGGGATTACTTCCGTATCTTACTATATAGCTCTGTAGGTAAACTAATTAAATTAAATTTTATATTATTTATGTTCCAGGATAAATCGCTATTCCGGGGCGAACCGGATATCTCTCGCAGAGACCATATTGTAACAAACAATCCATTCAGTGGTGACAGCTGATATAAGAATCCGACATCTGGTGCAACATTTTTTTAAAACCAAAATATTTTTAGTAAAAATTAAAAAAAAACTATATCGGTATCTCTTACAAATATTATATTTCGAAATTGAGAAATTATAACCGATTAAGTTAATTTAATATTTAATAGTTGTATTATATAATAATATATACATTACACATTTACACCTAATAATATGTACTAGGTACCTATATGATTCGTTAAAAATACGCCTAGCTATACCTTTCTGAAATATTTCAGACTAGGCAAAATTATTAGTTTTTATCAATAAGTACATAGTATAGATTCAAAATTTATGTTGTTTTTTTAATTGAAAGTTGCTCTTAATGCTTTTGATGTAAAATACAGTTGATGACTTTCCAAAATATCTGTACAAAAATGTAAAGTTTATGTTTACTATACCTATAATTACCCCTAATAAAAAATCGATCAAAAATTCAAAATTTAATCTTATTTTGTAATGCTTACTGCTGTAGTGATGTATATAGTGTTATCGTAACTCACTTGTCATCTAAAACAGACTTTAGTGGTAAATAGCTATTAATATAATTATAGGTAGGTAGGCACCTCAATAACAAGAGTACATAACAAAATATGTAAGTAGATAGATACACGGTATTATCGCCATTGAAGCATCTGATAATAATAAGATATTCTGGAGAATAAACAAACAATAAAAACTTAAAAATTTACATTTTATAAAATGGTATTTGTTTATATGTTATTTTACCACACGCACATGGACAGAATATTGTAAATAAATTTAAAAACACTGTCCCTGAATTTGTTATGGTAAGCATTCTTGACAATGTATTGTTATTACCTAAATATTTATACAATATATAGTACCCTAATCGAAAATAATCCATTGAAATTTAACTTATTATAAGAAAATGACAACATGGTTGAAGGTTAAAATTTATGTAGTTTAATAAAATAACATATACCTACATAAATAAACAAACAAGCCTTGTGCATGTAATATATACTAAGAATATAGTTTAAGATATTATGACAAAAACAAAACGTTTACGTGGGTCACTATATATAGATATTGTGAAATATTTGAAAACAATTGGGTCAATTCCAATATATGGCGTAGGGTTAGTTTTTACAACAATGTCTTCTAAACTGTAATTTCCATATGCTTATATAATAAATATATTTGACCTATACATAGGTTAACTTTTAAATAATGATAATACACATTTTTTAAATTATTTTTGCTTTTAGGGTGTATACAAAGGTACCTAATATTTAAAAATCGTATGTCTAGTTTTAAATCATCATACTATTTTATAATTATAATACATTATAATTATGTTTTAAATAAACGTAAACAAATAATTATCAATGACCATACAATTTGTCTAAATTTTCCTAGTCACCTTAATTTATGCATTGGCAATAGGTATGTAGATAATATCTAGAATCAAACAAAAATATCTATCTAATTTCCGACTATTCAAACACTTATAAGTTTGTATTTAAATCATTAAAATTATTCGTTTTTTAAATGTTAGTACCTATAATGTAACTAATGAATACGATTATAAATATTAATAGAATTTAATAACATATATTAATACAATTATACATTATTCTACATTAGAAATTTACTATTTCACTATTATTTAATTTAAATTTTGATATTTTGGTCATTAAATAAATTTAAATTTAAAAATAGTCTTTTAAAGTTATTGGAACATTTTTCTTTTTTGATTTTAAAGACTTAATATAAGTTTTTTGCGAACTTGAAATAATAAATGTGAGTTTAATACTCTACTATAGTTTATCGCTTATGGAAGAATAATTTTTAGTTTAACTTTAATTGATATTAAAAAAAAAAAAAAAAATATAAAGAAATTATTTCAGCATTAATTAAAGTTTTTTTTATTTTATACTGCCAGTGGCAAGTTAGGTTAATTAAAAGTGATTTCAGATTTGCTGTGTAAAAATATTATAGAATATATTGTATTATAATATTGATGATAATTCAAAAAATAATTTGTAAATTCAAATATTCAGTTTGAGCAGTTTAATGTATACCCATGGGAAAGAAATGATTCTTAAACGTGTTCTTATAAAACACGGTGTTCGTCTTTTAGACCCAAAAATATTGCCCATTTTAAACACGGTCCTCAACGTTGCAATATATAAAAATAACGTCGTCTCCGATAGGTACTAAAAAATTATGACCGTGATAGACACGGTATTCGTCCTCAACGTAACAATGCCTTAAAAAATTGTCGTCTCCAATGTGTTAAATAGTTATTGACTAGGAATTTAAAGCTACTGAAAAAATATACTAACTTAAGATTCCAGAATTTCAATACAGATAATCTTTAAAACTACTTTGCTTAGTTAATTTGATATTGTAACTAAAAACTCATTGAAAAACAAAAATACTTTGTAACAAAATGCAATTATTAGTATTTAAAATGTTTACTACATGATTTTTTTTCTTCTTTTTAAATTGTGTACATTATAAATATTACATGTCTTTTGTTTATAATTTGGTATACAATATTAACTATATTAAATATGTAGGTATATAGATTTATAAACGAACATTTTAGGTAGGTACTTACTATAGTTTATATTACATTATAAAGATTGGAATTCATACAGTATGCCAATTTGATATTTTTTTAATTTTAATTTTTACTAATACCCGCTATTTAATTATTAGGTACTTATTTATTACTAATAACTAGGCAAACATTGTTCTCTGCAAAGGTCGAAAAAAATTACTGCATTGTATAATTGTGTGTGTTTTTTTCTCATCAATTGAAATGTATTATAAATTATATTAGCACGATGACAATATTCATTGATAAAAATATAAATTAAATTACCTACAATATTGTCAGTATCCAGTGTAACCTTTACTATTTCGTTTGAGCCAGCAAGAGAATCATTATATATCCTGCAGTGGCCGTTTAATTATTATGTGCACTTGCCGTTTTGCGTTAGTTACTATTTAATAAATAATAGTAATAATGTATACTTTTAGACGACTTTTTAGTATATAACTCATAAAGAAAATAATTAATGCGCGACCCTAAACACTGTATCATTGTCTGAAGAGGGTATACGAAAAATACAATTTGCATATAATGCATTATAGTCGCAATGTTAATTTAGATGATCGTTAACTTCAAATGATTTGCATAAATGGGTATGTATAATGTATAATATTAGTGGTATAATTTTATAAAATATATCATTTTGAAAATTAAATAGGTATAGTAGGAAATATTACCTGCTACTTATGTTATTATTTGTGGTTATTATATTATCATTTATTTATATACTGACCCATCATGAAATTAAATTTTTTTCGCTTTATTATGTTACTATACCCAATAGTACCCCAAATGGTTAAAAATAAAAAATCAATTTAGTTTTGTAGTTCTGCTTCTAATTATAATATTATATTGTATAAAATAATTTATATTTGTGAAACTCTTAATGTTTCACCTGTTGGATTATTGTTGATGCTATTTTATTATTATAATATACAATTTGTTATTTTTACTTTGATTTTTCAGGAATTAAAAATATATATCAAATTAAGTGATCCGTAAAAAAAGCAATGTGCAATTAAGAGGTGGGAGGGGGGCAGGGGTCCGCGCGAGTTCTGTTACGCTCCGCCTGGTCTACAGTAGTGGGAGTAAAGATCCACGATAAGATCTATGCGTCGAGACGAGTGGACATGATCTCCGTCCAACAGTACATGGTCTCGTCTGGTTTGTGTTAGTTCGATCGACCCAACAGATTATTTAATTATTTTTATACTTCTTTCGCTTTTATTATATCTGTGACGTTTTGAGTACCCAACTCGCTTTACTATATATAAATTAAATATTTTTTTTTTTATTAATATTATAATAATGAACTGTTTATTGGTAAAATCACCCGGTCCGTCCGGTAAGCCAGTGGTCACTATTACGGCGAGTGCGGCAGCGAGCGTAACGGCCGCGGCAAAGGCGGCGATGAGCAATGCATTGAAAGACAACGAGCAGATAAATGACGCCGTGAGCAAAGTTTTGGGTGGATACGATTGGACTCTAGTGCCAGTTCCTGCCAAGTATGTTTTTTTGTCTTTTTATTTCGATAATTTAATCATAATACTATAATAATGTACCTATATTATTCCATGGTAAACTTACGTCGAAAACACGGTCTGTGGCCTTTCGAAATTCCTAGGCTACTTTTAGACTAAAAAATTCCTATCCCGTGTATATTGAATAGCTGTGGTCAGTAGCTGACATACGAGGGAGGGTTGATTGGGTGTTCAAACTGCCCCCTTGGTATTATTTAACTATATGTATAGATACATAAAAATTAGTTCAATTTAAAAAATATTTTGATACGTATATTATACATAATATGCATTTAATTTTTTTATAAAACCCGTCACATTGAAAATATCTGTGTACGCCACTGGCTGTGGTTAAATTGTGTATCGTCTTGCCCACGGTTAGTTGATATACGTTTTTACTTTATAATTTATAAAAAATAGAACCTTAACGTTATACCGTTAAAATTAGTTCAGAAAATGCATATTTTATTTTAAATCTTTTAGGTACCATACCATCTATTCATCGCATAACACGCAGCATCGCGGTCCTGTAAATTACAATTTTTTTAACCTTGGAATTAACTCGGCTTCTTATCGTTTACGAATTTTAGGCACATTCATAATATTGAACACTATACTATGTACAGATATTTATAAGAGTTCTATTTTAAAATAAATTATAATTATGATAATATACTATACAATTTATGAAGGTATGTAATTTTCTTTAGTAAAATAATCATAATAACAATTGTTTAAATATATTTTAAAGTAATCACCACTAGAATTAATAATTGTATATTAATTGTAAATTTTGTTTTATAGAAGGGGGAGTTAGTCGCAGTGAAAGGAGGATAATAATTATGAAATGGATATGTGTCCAACAATAATTTGGGTTGACTGGGATAACTTGGGAAATATATTTTCTTGAAAACTGTGAAAGATAGTGTCAGAGTGTGAGTAGAAAAGTTGTTGTTGTCAAACTACCCTAACGACCTGACACGAAAATAGATCCATACCACTTATAAATCCATCCCTTGTCTGTTCGACAAGAAGTGTTACTTCTAACCCACCCCAGTATAGTTTAAATAGATGATTCTCGATTTTTCTCCCCTTCTATCCATATGTTTACGTCAACATTTTTTCAAAATTTTATCTACTAAAGAATTACCTTCGGTTCGATTTTTTTTCCGTACTTATGTATATTTTTTCCATAGTTACCTACTTATAAATAAAAGTCAATTAAAATTCTTAAATGTGTAACAATAATAAATCGTTGCCATTATATAATAAATATCAAATATATATATCATATATTATATATTATTTATATTTTAATGAATATATATTAAAACCTATTAATTGCTATTTTTTTGTTGAAAGCACCTTACTTTCGAGGGTTAAAAGGGTTCCCTAATCCCAGTTTCTCTGTAGATTGGTGGCACATCGTAAGTGTCACGTAAGATTTTCATTAAATTTAAGTACAAGTAATTTATACTTTATTACTAAATAATCTGAGAATTATCGAAAAGTTCATATTTCAACTCGCGATGACATTTTATACTCAAAGTGGTTCAACAAAGGGATCAAGGAGTGGTACAATGAGAATTTTTTTCTTTTTAAATCACTTTTTATAGTCATTATAAAATCCCAAAAAGTTGTACACCGAATCCCAATATACATTGTATTTTACGTGTAGTTTTTTTTAATTTTTAGTTGTTGAAGAAACTCAAAAACATATAAAGAAAGTTGAGGAAAATAAATCTATGGAACCGTCTTTTTAAAAAGATGTTTGGTAATGCGAACTCCGCGCAGGATCGATTTTTTGAATACTATACATTTCGCGATTAAATTTAAAATAAAGAAAACCATTTTCTGGTGCTGATGTTTTTAAATTGAAATTTAAACCTACCTAAACGATTCTGTCAATGTTCGTACAAAACTGAAATGATTAATTGTTTATAATACTTCTATTATGAATATTGATGGCATATAGGTACATTTGATCGTATTATATCAATACAACATTACAATTTAAACGGGTTTGGAATAAATAAAATAAGAAATTATAACATTATTTATACGGACAGTTATTTAAGATATAATATACTTGTATAGAATGATAACACTTATTTGTTATAAAATAAAATAATTTGATATCTTAAACAAGTTATTATTATTTCAGTTTCTGTTATAAATTATCTCATAATAATAAATAAAACCAATAACCATGAAAACAATTTATTGTTTAATATATTTTTGATTAATTATAATAACATTATAATATATAGAAGTATTTTTTTAAGTTAATACATTTTTTATGGGAAAAATATTTATAATATCATAACCGTCAATAAAATCTGTTCAATATAATCGAAACATTTATTTCAAAGATATCCATTTAAAAATAAATAATAAATGCATATTATGATATGATATGATATTTGATAAGTAAATATTATGCTCTAGATGAATTCATTAAAGAATGTTAACAGAAACTGTCGGCGACATTGGCGGCATTTTTTTTTTACGTCCGTCCTACCGGAAGATAAGGGACGACCGGAAGTTCTTTAGTAAGACATACAACGTGGATGGAATCTAATTCGATAGGCTATTAGTTTTATATCTATGTAATGTATATATTATAATAAAAAAATAATATCAGCATAACTATACTGATAGCGGTGTTTGTGATCCGACGCCTACGAGGTCCCGAACACAAATCTAAATCAAAAAAAAAAATTATAAAAATATTTGTTAATTTTATCTAACGCCTAGTGTCATGTCATGATGATCAATATTCCAAACACTACAGTCAGCTAATTTTTGTTTAAACATCAAACACAAACCATGGTCAATCGTAAATAACCCTGCGGTAAAAAGGACGAAAGTGAATTTTCATTCAAACCACACGTGTCGGCCATTAAGTATAAAAGGATGTACAATTGTTTTTTTTTTTTTTTAAATCGATATAATATTATATTCTTTAAATAAACAAAATATGTGGGGGTTAATAAAAACAATGTCTAAACAGTTCCAAGAAAATAAATTTAAGCAATGGTTTTGAAGAAAACATACTGAGGCTTATATTTTATGTACCTATATAGTATAATATATTATTAAGTTATTGTATCAAGAATTCAATAATAAAGCGTACACTTTTCCCATTATTTCTGAACTGGCTAATAGAAAATATGGGTTTGTTATACATATTATAGTTTCTTTTACATATAACGCAAATAAGAAAAAAGTTAAGAATTTATGGAATTCTATTATAAAATAGTAATGTTACTTATATTTTATATAGTATCTACTATCTAGTACAGATACCAGGATGAAATTAAAAACTCAAAAGAGGTAGGTATTCATATTGAAAAATAAGAAGCAGGATGTCTCCGCAACATTCTTTGTATTCGTCCTATCTCACACTGACACGTGACAACTCATAACCGTTCTCTGTTTTTTAAATTTCATGGCTACGAGTATATAGTTTAGTGTATGGTTAAGGTAAACTCTAATACAAATTCATGAGGAGAATATTATTATATATTATCTGCCGTCTAATATATGAGCTATGACATTTACTTTGAGGTGAATTATATTAGATAAAAATCATTTAAGTAATAAGTCAAATTTCAATAATTACGATAATTTAATTATTAATTTATAAATTAAAATATATAATTCAAAACTACCACTAGGTATCATATGTAGGTATCTATATATAGTATGACATGTCATGTATAGATTGTAGTTAATTGTATATTTTGTATAAAGTTACTAAAAAATGTTCATCGTGTTAATAATAGTATTTTAAGAAACATATTTATTGTGATTTTGTTAAAACGAACCATAAATGAGCATGAACGAATAAAATCACAATAGGTCTCAATTATAATATTATTATGTATTAAGCCCGCGCCGATCGTTGCTATAATTAATTTTATCGCATGTTTTGTGTAATTTATAGACGACACTTTTTTTTTACAGTTCGTAATTCCTTCGTTTACGAACCGTGGCCATCGCGTAGGTATACTTAATTATTGTAATGCTTATACAAATTACGTACGTTTATGCGTCTTGTCATATCTTTTCGGAAACATATGAGTCTTGGACACCTACCAATACGTATTTTCGGTCGAAACTCGCAAGGGAAGATGCTATCAGTCGCCTGTCTTCACTTTTAATTTAACTGAGCCGTTATAGCTGCTAACTTTGAGGTTTTTCAAACGAAATTTATAATGTTGATAAAAATAGTAAACGTTTTTATTTTTTACTGGAAACATGTAATTTGAGAATAGTGTTTTAATTACAATAATATAATGTTTGTAGCATTTATGACCTATTATACATAAGTATATTATTATGTTTATATTATATACCTGACATACAATTATTATTTTAGGTGTATATTTTAAACTACCTACATGTTCAACAAAACATTATCTCATATATAAATCTATTAGGAATTTTCATTTATTTGAAATTTATACAAGTACTATTTTGTTATCTTCGTTTTCGTATTTAATCATATATAGTACATATTATATTACATTGAAATTAATTTTTATAAAGTTTGTAAATCAATCTGAGATTATAATAAGTACCCAAGTTTACATGGTTCGATATAATATAGACTAATTATTATTATTACATTTTATAATTGTTTCGACAAATTATTATTGGATATCTTAATAACACATAAATTTTATTTTCTAGACCTCCTACAGAGAAGAAAAATTATCATGTAAAGAGACCAATGAATGCTTTTATGGTGTGGGCTCAAGCAGCACGTCGCAAGCTTGCCGATCAGTATCCACAGCTGCACAACGCCGAGCTCAGCAAAACGCTTGGCCAATTGTGGAGGTAAATATTACATAATTTAACGCCTTTTGGTATTCAATTAAGAGCATATGATATATTTTAATAATATTATGTAGGCATGTAGCATGTAGTGGTAAGCAAAATATACGATTAATGTCGATTATAGACTATATAGTGTATAAATAGAATGTTTTAGTAAAAAATATCTTATCAAAATAAGTTTTAACTATTTTATTCTTTTCTAAAAATCACATTCAACTTTAAACCAAATATAATTTAAGCATCTAATTTTGAATGAATTAAAACCATAACATAATAGTTATCGAAAAAACTAAGTTTCCTCCCGAAATATATTATATTTATCCACAGTATAATAATAATAATAATAATAAACATCGATTAGTTTTCTTAGGAGTTTTCTTCATGATGTTATATTTAGTGTAATTTATTTGTATTCTTATATCATTGTTTTATGTATTAATGGTATACATAAATACCTAACACGTATAATAAATATTATTCATTTTTCAAAATGTAGGGTTTGAAAATATTTAAATGGCCGTGTCCAGCTCCGTTATTGTTACAATATTATCACTGTGGGTAGGCACTATAATTAAGTTAAATAAGCCATAACAAAGTTCTGTTTAAAATTATGATAAAACTATCTGTTTGATCTATAAATTAGGTACAAATGTAGAATACTACATAATATAATAATACAAAGTGTCCGTATATTCAACTGCGGAAAATATGCACTGATGTATCGGCTGGTGTTGATATAGCTCCCGGATGGTTGACCACCCGGGATTTTTATCTACAAATTCTTGCCAGACAAACGTGTAATCATTCAAACCGTTCATTCCCCCAACAAACAAAAAAACATCTAATGGCCATAGTTTCCACTTGCCGGGCTTAAGCTAATAAGCTCAATATAAAAATAAAAATAATAATACATTATGTACCTATATTGTACATAGTTAATATGTTATATAATATTATATAAGTATATTAATATACTCATGGTAAATAACTTTCTTTTGGAGATAATTGATTAAGTTAAAATTGTAATCAATGTATTATTATTTATAGCATGTACATACCTGGTACAAACATGTTTTTCTATTTTACCATCGTATTATATTGAAAACCTGGTTACGTCGTCTGGTCGTCATTCGTCATACTTTAATAGGGTAGGATCACGCAATATTCTATAGCATCTCATGTATTTGAAAAATGTAATCTACATTTTTTTTAAACATAATAAATATAAAAATTTGCATACATCGAAGAAAGTTTGAATATTTATTAATATAAATACCCAGTGTTGTATGCAGAATTTTTCAATGGGGGGGAGGGGCTTGAAAATGAATAACAATTATATTTTTATTTTGTCCAGTCTAATAATTTCAGACGTCTATTCGAGGTATTTTAAAATGTTTGTACAACTTCAACTTCTCAACTTTTCTGGTATAGAAAAAATGCTCTGATCATAAACTTCGATGCCCGATGGATATTTTAGGAAGCGAATTTTGTCTAGTTGGTACCTTTAGAGGGTCGAAATTGAAAATTCTCATTGCTTTTTAAAATAAATGAAGAAAAAAAATGAAAAATTGTTGAAATTGTTTGGTAACATTGGTTAGACCGTCTTCACTTGGATTGTGTTTGATTAATTTAAGTTTTTTTTTCTACAAAAGTCAATAAAAAATTATTTATCAGGTCAAAAAGCTTAACAAACGTTTTTATAATAGCTAAAATATTAACGATGTCATGGTTATTTTTTATAAGCATTTAAAGTTCAAATTTTGACAAAACCACAGTTAATTTGTAGTTAAAAATGTATAAAATATTAAATTTGTATAGCTAAGGCTAGACAATTTAATACAAGTAGTTCATGCTTTTACCAAAAAATTACTGATAATTTTAGGAAAATTGGTACCTATGCAAATACAATGTTTTTTCAAAAATAAATTCATTCTGGTAAGACTATTACCTAACATTACTAAAATACTAGGTATAGGTACCTTATTGGCTATTAGACATGTTATTTTAATCAAGGCGTAGGCGTAATGAAATTATAACTATTAGGTAACTAAGTGGTAACATAATATAGTATATATCAATGTTATAGAACTATATCTTCATATTACTACCTCGTGTTAAGCCTACATTGTGTTTTTATAATTTGTTAAGACATACCAAATTGAAATAAAGAAGCTTAGGGCCAATAGCCAGTATAAAAATGCAAGCTAACCTCATATTTTAATGGTTTTAAATTTTAAAAGTCGTGGAATTATCAATAACGTTACAGTCGTTACTCGTGTGACGTGTATATAGTTTTATTTGTAATATGTTTGTGCCTATCCAATATTAATAATAACAAAAATAAAATATTTGCCAACATCATATATTTACTCACATCGAAGCAAAACATTCTAACATTGATTAGTATTATATTTATATATCTATGATTACAATTTTAATTTTTAAGTATTATAACTTTTTTTTTGTTTGGGCGGCATTAATTCAAAGAGTTGTTAAAAACTAAAATCAACGATTAGATCTGAGTTCAGTTTAAAATGGTGGTAAACACGCTTTACATATTAAAGTGCTGACGAATATTATTTGTATTATAGTGTGCACTACTAAGTGCTAAAAGTGATTTTTTAACCGATAAAATGCAAGTAAAGATTTAAATATAACGAATAAAATATACTTCAATACATTTCTTCTTCATTTTGTATCTAAATAATACAGAATGGATATAATATCATATATATACTACATCTATATATAGTCATAATACCTACATCATATTATTGATCAAGCAAAAAATAAAATATAATTAATATTTTTATTGTGTAAGCATTTTATTTTATAAGATTCTGCTATTTTTTTATGTAAAATATTTATTTTTAAATTAGACATTTATTAGTAATATACTAATATAGTAATATCTCAACTATTTGTCATGTTACTGTATATAATATTTAAACTTCATTCTTCATGCAAAAATAGTCATACTCCTGTGGCATAATAGTGTATTTATATTATATTATAATTAAATTGTTTGATGAGTTAACATTAAATTCATTGAATTCAATAATTTTATTTTTAGAAATTGGATTTAATTTTATATTTAGGTGATACTAGATAGCTACTTAACATGTAATATAGAGTAAAAAATAATATATTTATATGTTATATTATATAATAAGCATATTATATTAAATATATAGGTACCTATAATATTATAATTATTTTTGTTTATATTTTAAATTTATGGTTTACAATTGGTTGTTGAATTTTTTTTAGTATAAAAAAACTTTGTTAATATAATAAATATATAATTAACTCTATAGTAACACGACTAACCACCTAACCCTTTGTAAACATATTATAACGCATAAATATAATAAAGTGACTTTTAAAAAGTATAAAATCATTAATTTTTCTTAAATTAGGATAGCGTTAAATATTACGTCTTACCCCTTAGGTACTATACTATGCATTATTTTTCTGAACATTTCTAACGATAATATAATTTTAAACATTTAGTGTTATTTTCATATATAATAATATAACATGGTACCTACATAATATCAAATTCAAAATTACTTACGATGTGTTGTTTATAACAACATCATGTAGGTAGAAGTAAAATAAATGGATGATATAATATGCTTGTGTCAAAATTCTGTTCCCATAGGCTTACGAAAAAAATCGTATATATTTATGAGATTAAAGTTTTTGCACTAAATTCAGTTCAGCTGTTTTATTTAAGTATACGAATTTTTTATAACTTTTTATTTTTCAATTTTACAGTAAATACTTTTCAGAGGTTTTTTATTATGATGAATAATTCACATATTACTATGTAAAAATGGCTGTAGAGGTACCTATAGGTATATTATTATGTACACTCGAACCCAGGACGTGTATAATAATGGTCTACGAGAGTGGGCAACTATATATAATATTACTGTTTAAAGAAATAAATTCACCTTTTTATTACAATGCGTATTATAACTTTTCATCATAATAATAATATCTCCGGTCTTCAATTTGGTTTTTGTTTTTTTTTTTTTTAACTTCTCTACACTGTAGTGGAGCGTAAAATATTAATATTAAAATGGGAAAGGTCATACTCCACAGAGAGACACTCCCGCGTTTAATTAGTCTCTCTCAGAAATAGTAATATGACATAATACAGGGAGTGTCTAGGGACGGATATGCCGGCACACGAGCATCTGGGACGAATCGGACGTACATTTAATTGTCCGTTTATTTTCAACCCCAAGCATGTTAACCCTTTGGGTATGTCAAATATTAAAAAAAACATGAGGAATACATTTTTCATCCCTTGGCTGGTTGACAACAGGTGCCCAAGACACAAGGATAAAACAATAAAAATAAAACGAATAGTTCCGGTATTCTATGATAATATTATTATATAATATTTGTGGTTTTCGTACGTGTTTTTTTTTGTTAAAGCGTTCATAAAAAACCATATAGTTTTGTAGTAATAAGGATATTACAATATTGGAACTAAGAAAAAATTTCATGCATTCCGGGGAGGGGTCGTACTCATGTGCCGTATTAAATTAGGTACATTACATTTATGATCTCCAAGGCCTAAAGTATGATATTAACGGTTAGCATGTTCGTAGTTTTGTTATAACTTTGTGGGATTCTATGAGCTAATCATCTAATCATCTGTGATAGCTAACGATGTATAACTATAATATTATGTTATGTTTATAGTTTAGTAAATTGGACGTAAATATTTTAATACGTGTTTTGATAAACAAATGTTAATGCTGCACGATACTATATATTAGATGAATTACTATTTATTATGTATCTAATTACATTATGTCTATATTATATAGTGACTATTATTTTTTTAAACATGGTTTTTTAGACTTTTGAGTGGTGATGATAAACAACCGTTTATAGAAGAGGCTGAAAAACTGCGTGTACTTCACAAGAACCGATATCCCGATTATAAATATCAACCACGTCGGCGCAAGGCTGCTAAAGGCATACCAAAGATACAAGACAAATCAAAACATGACAAATCTGAAGCAAATGATTCTCAGTATCAACGCCATCTAAAACAAGACATGTTAATGAATTGTAACAGGTAATAGTAATATAATTTATTTAAAATTTGCTGTGCACATAAAAAATTATTCATTTATACAATTAATGTATATATTTTATACTTTGTGCATTTGTGATTTGAATGTAAGATTACAGAATATAGTTGTAGGGATATAGCAAAAGATTTGGGCACGGTTTCATATTGTCAAGTATTTTACATGTACACTGGTAAAACTTATACATTTTTATCAGATTTCATATGACAATCTCATAATATTCAAAGATACGTCGAAGTACCTAGTTAAAATTAACTTTTATATTGCGTGGCGTTTAAAACTTCTTAGATATAGATTCACGTGTAATATTAAAGATTTATAAATACATAAATATAATTTTGCATTTATTACAGCATGAATAAAAAATAGATAGATTTATTGGAGTTGCTTTTTTAAATTTGTCATAAGAAACCTATACAGATAAACCAAATATTTACATTTTGTATTCATTACTCAATTATGTATAACAGATTTTGACTATAAGCATACATTTTGATTAATTGTTGATTAGGCTTATTATAGCTTGAGATTTGAATAACAAATATTTTCGGAAGTATGTTGGCTGTTGGTTATAATAACAGTTAATATTTAGGTTAATTATTATTATTTTTAATAGCACCACTAGTAGTCGTCCGATTAAACAAGAAATGATTCCTGCCAGCTCATCGTCGACCAGTAGTAGTAGTCCATCCGGTTCAGCACCAGAACCACTGACTCCTCCTACTACTCCAAACTACTACCCAGCCAAGCCCAAAAACGGCTATTGCAACATTACGCACACTATTTGTTATGGTAAGCATTCAACTACTTCTGCACATCGTCCATCTATTTTAAATTAAAACACCGGGAAAGTCGGTCTGTAGGTTTCACTTGTACCACTGAGTTAGATCACCACCCTGCAATATAGTACATAGTATATTATATAACATTTTAATTCAATAATAAATCATTGAATATTATACGGAAAACGATCCTAAGCGGAGACGGTGCCGTGTAATTTAAGTATATTTTATAATTTATTAATAAAATTATTGTTATTAACTTACAAAACAATAGCGAGAACCGTGCTGTAGCACTATGTGTATAAACAGTTTCAAATTAGTTTAAATATTTTTAAAATGTCATTATGTACAGTAAAATGTACAATATATATATTCACAAGTTCACAACGGCGAAAAGTTTCGAATCCCAACTAATTATTTTTTTGATTCTAATAAAATAACTAAACCCGTTATTTATCATAGATGCCTAATTTCGTTGAAATGTTAACTCAAAAACGATATAAGAATTAATTGTGTGTACGTATGATATTTTTTAAACACTATAATAACTATACTTATAAAGAATCTTGTATTACATTTCAAGCCTTAGTTATGAAAATTTGAAAATTTTTGAATTAGTAATTTTTGTCAACATTCTGTTTAATATTTATAAAAATCGTGTATGTTATATTTTCGATTTTTTTTTGATTTACAAAAACACAGTTAGTTATCATAAATCAAAAATTACTAAAATATTAAATATCCATAAATAGCACCAACATAGCCAAATTATTTTTAAAATTTAATCATGCCTGAAAAATGCTAATATAAAAATTATGTTATTATATAATTTCAAGTCTTTACACTTATTCATTTTTAATTCCAATATCAATTAAAATCAATTTTGTCGACAACTTGTGTTGAGTCAATATATTCCCGTTTCTCCGTATTTTTTTTTTTAGTTTTTTTCTGATTATTTTGAAAATAACAATAACAAAGTGTCATAAAAAAAAAATAAGAACATAACACTTACATTGTAAATCCAATAATTTCACCACTCGTAGTCTAAAAAAGATTTTATTCAACTAATAATAAATCATAACAATAAATTGTTATTCAAGGTGGTGAAACGGGTGAATCTGCGATAGATTACAGTCTAGATTTTGGTCGTATGGACGACCTACCGGCGGTGGAGGCTATCGGAGCTGACATGGTGGACAGTTCGGAACTGGATCAGTACCTAACGATGGGCAACCAATACCCATCCACATCGAGCAGTTGTGCTGACCCTTCAGAACCATATTATTATCATGCCAGGTATCATGAATTGCAGCCGAATACGGCCAAGCCACATTTTTCGGTACATCAAACATCATACCAACCGTCTTATCAGTACGTCGTCAACAACTATAATAACTAACTTCAATATTTATACTATATATATAATGATATATATTTATATATTTTGTATTTATTGTAATCAGGTACTATTTTATGTGTATTATTTTTTTATTCGTGTGTAAAATACTCAAAGAAAGAATATTTTTTAGTTGTTTGTCAGTAAAAATTGTAAACGCAACATTAGATGATAATAATATAGTCACTATAATATAGTGCATGAGTGCATGACATATTATTTTTCTGTAGCCACAATAACCGAATATTGGTATGACTGATATTATAATAACGAGGAATAATTTTTTAAGCGTTTTAAAAAAATTTTAAGTATAAAAACAATATTTTTATATAGGTAGGGTGGGTAGGTGGGTTACCTACTTAAATGATAATATAATATTTTTATCTACTCGATAATATTAATGTATAGGAGTATGTTGCGACTAAAACTTTTGTATTCAAATAGCATTTTAAATATTAATTTAGATATATAATGTAAATTAAAATATGTGTATCGAGTTATTTTTGTATTATATTTTCATCAATAATTAAATATCACCAACTTTCTCACGGAAAATGTCAATAACCTCATTAATTCCAATAATGCGTCTCCTACGCGTTAAATATTTAGATAAGGGCGAAGTTTTGAAATTATTCAGGGGCTGTGGGAGTTTTTATGTATGAGAACAAAAGTGTTATACAATGATCATTAACTACATCATACATGAGTTTCACTGTTGTCTAATGATAACATACATGTATATATAATATATATTATTCATTGCTTGTAACGAATTAACATTTCTTGTTAATTATTTTTCATATTGATAAAAAAGATTATTTTTCTATACATGTACAGTATTTATTTTGAGTTTTCATGGGAAATAAAAAAATAATATCAATTTAGTTATCAAGTTAATTTTTAAACATAACAAAAATTAGTTATAATGTGTAACGTAAATAATATTATTAGATACCTATACTATAATTAATATAATATATTGTACAGTGCAGCGGTTCTCAGCCTTTATATTATATTATTATATGATATAATATATACTACCGGGCACCTACACATATTTAAGATTTGCACGTACCGCTAGAAAGTATACAATGTTTAATAGGGGTGATAATAATAATTCGAATTTTTTTTTCTTAAAGTCACGTGGCGTTTATGTAATAACAGTTGAGAACCGCTGGTAATTGGTATAATGTGTACATATTGCATGATAAAAATTATCTACCTATCTGCCTAAATACAATATACATACATGATATAACTTAAAATTTTATGTTTAAAATGCAGGTGAGAAAAAAAGTAATTTAAATAATATGTATAAGAACTGAAAGCTTAAACTGGGGAGGGGGGACTGCCTAGTATTATTTACGTAAAAATATTATTATTATTAGTTTGTTACTCATTGCTCCTATATAACAATAATAAATGCATTGTATGTTTATTATATTTTAACAATTGTTACAAAGTCATAGAATGGTTTTTATTTGAAAATTTCAGAATTATATGCGTCTTAAAGTGACCCATTTATAGATTTTAAGCAAGTCTCAATATAGATACAACTCTCACCTTTTTCAGAAAACATAACAATTATTATATTATAATGGGATAAGCATAAGCTAACCATAATTAATTAATTACCACCGCTAATATTTCCATTACAATCAGATTTAAATCCTTGCTAATAATCCAAAGTGTCCCTAATATTATACTTAAACACTTATATTATATTTAAGATAATAGCCATTTGAATGCATTAATATTCAATATAATAGCGAAAACATGCCCCATAATTTTTTTCCCTCATTAAAGATTCATATTTTATCAAGAATTCTTACATACGACCGGTCTTAAATTTTTAAATTGGTACTTAAATTTACAATTAACGTTTTCATTTTTTTTAAAAATATATTTAATAATCCTTTCAAGACTATAACTGATAATAGTTGTTTGATTATGATTAATAATGTGTTAGGTTTATACGTTATTATTTTAGATATAGTTGGTTAGATTATTATTATTACATTTTTAATTTATTTAATACGCTTATAAAATAATTTATATTATGTATTTAAATTTGTATTTTTCAAGATTACATTTGAAAATAATTTTTTTTTAAATTGTACTTTTATAATTTATGTATTTTTAAGATCAAAAAAATGTAAAGCTTTTAAGTTTAAAAATGTTAACTTCATTTTTTAGGTGTTACATTTAATTGATTAAAAATATTGGAGAGATACTTTTAGAATGAGACATCTTACAAATAAGATCAAATATGAATAATATTTATTGATTGAAGTCCTTTAATTAGTCTTACACAAATAATAATATTAAATTCATATTTGTGTGTCTTATACTTATTTAAATAAAGTGTAGAGCCGTGTTGAATTTATGATAGTCATAAAGAATTTTTATTATAATTCAATTATTGCTTTTATTTGTTTTCAATTATGTTACATTAATTAGTCTTATATATCACTAAGGCGCTTATAATTTAATCTTTAATACTTAAGTCACATAATATTGTTCTTATTACTTCTTAATAGGTTGTTAATTAAAAATACAATATTAAAATGTAAAATGTATTATTGAAATTAAAAGGTTTTTTTTGTATTTTAAATTTGAATTGCATTATTGTCATATTTACATTATTTTAATTTACAACGACCTGGATTAAAAGATTTTAAAAATTATACAAGTCATACAGAACTGTATCTACAGACTACCTTTTACTTAAATTCTAAAAAAAAAATGTTACTAGACAAAGATTAAGAAAAAAAGTCTTAACATTATATTGTAAGATTGGATTTTAATAATTGATATATTATATTATATTTTTTATTTAATATTTACTACCATGTGAATATGTAATAGGTATATCTAAGTACTATACCTAATAACGGATTGGTTTTTTTATCAAACAGTTTTCTACGATAAATATTATAATTTATTTAATATTTATTTTTTTATATACGCAAGTGATACAAGCAACCACCCATATAGGAATTTTTTATCAATATTTAAAAAAAAAACATTGATACAACAGTATAATAGGTAGTACCTATGTGACTGTATATGTTAAAAATAACGTTTCAAACAACACAATATATCGATACCTTAAAGCACACAAGTGTCCACTTTTTTTGAAAATCGAAATATTGGTATCTTTGAATTCGTCATAGACAGCAGAATCGATTGCACAATCGTTGTATGTCCATAACCTAACGAAATTCCTTTAATTTTGAATATTTGAAAAGTGCCACTTAATGTTTATTTCAAGAGCACAAATGTTATATGTCACGTTTGTGCCACAAGAAGTACGTTAAAGTGACATAGAACATTTGTGCTCTTGAAATATTTTTAACAGACAACAAAAATTGTTTTTGCGTTTACCAACAATAAATTACAAAAAGTGGACATATGACTTGTGTGCTTTAAGGTATCGATATGTACCTATCAATTACAGAATAGTTATGAGTCTTATGCATTTACAAATCATAATAAAAGAGGTGATTTGTAATGGGAAGGTACATTTCCACTAAAAATAAGAATTTTTAAATTGTGCCTGTATAATGCAGCAGACGATATTTTTTTGTGCACGCAGGCGTGTAGGCGTACAGCTTTATAGTATTTTTTATACAATACATAATATGCCTATGTGTGTGTGTAAGTGCTATGTATATACATATTAACGAACATTGATCCCTTTAAAAGGACCGTTTCCCGGTTCTACTGCAGTGTCCTTAGAGGATTTACCTGTATACGGTGGTTAGCAGTGCATTCATATACATACACGCACCGTGTAACGTATTTGCAAAATTTACGAACCATATATAATCTGATTAGGAGTTCATTGCAAGGGATCATGACATGTTTGTCGGTGAACATAAATTACCATTGGACACAACTGTTACAGAATTTAAACAAAACAATATGACATTGTATACGTAATTACTAATTATTATACAGTGAGTCTTTCCACAGTGTTTGTTCTGAAATAGCCCTCCACAGGCAGACTGAATATTATATAGGTTATTGGTTGTATAATTGGATACCCAATAGGCAGGAGTGTGTGTGTATGCTGCACTAGATGCAGCCTGCAGTGTGAGAACACTGAGAATAAACACTACGCAGAGACAAATTCTCATCAGCTAATATAACTATGATGGGGTCATAATATTATCCTTATAGGATAATATATTCAATATAGGTAAAATATGTATTTAATTTTGTTAAAATATCAATATTCAATACAAATATAATAATACATCGTTATAATTAATTCCAAACTATCATTATGTAGAAAAGAAGCAACTTGTGATTTTAAAACAGATTGAAGTCACATTTTATGTAAGCTAAATCATTTTGTTAAAATAAACTATATTACAATGAGTTTAATTTTTAAATTTTTTTCGTCAAAGTCAAAATCATCATTGACGTGACATCTGATTTTTACACTTCTTTTATTTACATGTTATATATACACCATAAAACATGCCTTTTTCGTGTTTATAACTATAATATGCATTAGACTTAAAATATGCAAAAATATGAAAACTAAAAAATAAAAAACCTACTAGGGAATACAGATAATATTTAGGTATCTAATAAGTACGAAATTATGACCGTTTTTTTATGAACCAATCAATATATAAAGAGTATATAATGTAATTATTTTACAATTTTAAGAACTAATATTATATTATAATTATAATTTAGAAAAAATAAAATTAGTATCTTCCTGTAATGTAAAATGAAATTCGATATTACATTATATCATTAGGTGGATTCCATTTACCTCATTGTGGTAATGTTAAAAGTTTTGTCTTTAGACAATAAACTCAAAATACAAGAATCCGACAAGGAACATCCAATAATCATACTACCTATAACACCGAAGCTGTACAAACATATTTCACATACCAATTTCTGTATAATAAAATCTACACATATCGCCATATCGGCATTCCACGGTTTTATTTAAAATATGAGCACTCCGGCCTTTTGAA